AACTTATAAAAAATATATATTATAAAATATAGTATATAAAGTGTTATTATAATATCTTTTAACTACTCGCGGTACGGGGAATCTGGTTTGAAGGGCCGCATAGGGTTGTTGGATTTCAGAAGTGCTATAATGTCAAAATGGTCCTGCCCTCCGGTGTTTCATGTCTGGCCCCTGTCTGTACATAGTGGTCGAGAATTAACTGATGGAGTCAAAAGGATAGTTGTAGATGTTATCAATACCTACGTGTGGATATAAAGAACATCAAAAACAGAGCTCGTATGCAGAAGTTACGGAATTTAAAAGTCGGGATGGGCTGATGCGAAGTGGGTGACGTGGCGCGATCTGAGCCATTGCTTCCTCCCCGTGCCTTGCCACCAGATGGTGACACCTGGCACCTAAATCGATGAGTTGGAGGCTCAGAACTCGCCCAGTTGAGCCATTTTTCAGCCTATAAATACCATGTGAGGCCCACTCATTTTCCTCACACCTTAACCCTTCTCTCTCTCTAACTTCTCTCTAAACCTCCCCAACCTCTAGTACTTCCCAAGTGCTAAGAGGCGAGTCCCAGAGCGCTAGAAGGCTCCGAGAAGAAGAGCTTTTCGGCTCGGAAGTTCTGCCCTCGCAGATCCCGGTTCCTAGCCAAACCTCATGGTAAGTGAGTTATGCTTACCCTACTTTAAGTATAGCTTATGTTTAAGTTTATTATCATTATTATGAACTTATAAACAATATATGTTATAAAATATAAAATATATAAAGTGTTATTATAATATCTTTTAACTACTCGCGGTACATGCAATCTAGTTTTAAGGGCCGCATAGGGTTGTTGGATTTCAGAAGTGCTATAATGCCAAAATGGTCCTCCCCACCAGTGTTTCATGTCTGGCCCCTGTCTGTACATAGTGGTTGAAAAGTATTGTTTAACACTTATAAAATAATAACGCTCGTAAATAGTCACGATAAATATTAGACTAAAATCTAGTGGTAATAATACTAGGTTTCGTCTAAGGAAATTATATTGTTAAGAAGTGAAGCGTTGTTCATGTTGGAATCACCACTTTAACAAGTGAGTGCATAGTTACTTTCATCTTACAAATAGATATGAAGTATTTAATATAGATTACTTGGTATGTGAGCATATTCTCTGTGTTCTTGATATCTATGTTGGATGAACGATTTATACATGTTTGAAATGATTTAAATTGTATATGTATTTTATATCTACGAAAATGTTGGATAAAACATGGGTAGATGCAATAGTTGATGCGTGATGAAATAAAATGATGAGAGGCCTCGATGTGTACGATGATCCAGTCATCTAGAAAAGTATAGATGACGACCACAGACTTTTCTAGACAGTCCAGTGGAACGCTAGCAGTCTCATAACCTGTAGGTGTTTATTTGAACTACGTGTTCACTAGGTGTACTCCATCCCTCTCATGGTTGCCTTGTTTGACATAAATTGTTGAGGAATCCCTTACGCAGTGCTGTCACCCCGATGAAAATTCTTAGGCTAGGTCCCTTTTAATAGATGCTTTATGGACGAAAAGTGAGGATAACGGGAACGGGTAATCGGGTTGAATGATTTGACAAAATTAATGAACTTAATTATTATGGGTTGAAAACCGTATGTGCTCAGCAGGCTCCCAAGCTTGACATACTCAATTTCTTGTATACAGGTAGTGGCAAGAGAGCACAGGAGTGATGATCTGATGAGAGATCAATGGATTATAGGCCACTAGAATAAATAGATGTTGTAAGGCCTATGTTGTTTTTGTTTATGCTTTTGATCTGTATTGACAATGACATCCCGGGTTTTTTTTTAAATATAATGAAAATAAATTTCTTCGGAAATGCTTTGGTAAATTCTTTAGCATATTTTTTGGAACAAATTCCGCAACATATTTCTTTAAAAGTATACTCTGATTTTCAAATAAAGCATAAAAAAATCGGTTTTTTCTGACCGTGAAATTGGGGATGTCACAGTTGGTATGAGAGCATTAATTTAAGCAAACCAGGAATTTGTAAGATTTTTAGACTTAAACTTAGAATGCTAAGCGATGATTGTGAGATGAGTGTCTACTACATTTTAGACACGAGCACTAGCTTATTTTAGGAAAGATGCCTAAAATGCTTTTTTGTGCTAAATGATTTATGTTATAGCTATAAAGATGCCTTATATGTTATTAATTGATCGGATCTATGGTCTATTGCCGACCGGATCTGGAAACTTTATGTGTTCAGAATTCTAAACATATAATTACGGTATTAGAACTAGCATGTAACTTTTCAGAGTGACAAGGACGATTAAACTGAAGGGTTTTGAGAATTCTAACACTCCTAAGGTGTACATGCAACCCTAAATACCTTAAATCTATGTTTTCTCTATTATACATGCAAATATCAATTTTCCAAGGTATTGATCTAACTAGCATAATATGAATTACATATAATATAAATTCTAGTAGAATTACATACGTCTTTGTTGTAGCTTGATTCCATGGAGCTTAAGAGCCTAGTGTCTCAAATGTGACACCTCAAATGGTTCACACAACATCACCAACATCTTGGAATAACTTGAGAGAAAAGGTTCCTATGCTCAAATCGGCTAGCCCTCATGTGTACACACACTAGTCCCAAAATTTCTTGAGCCATGGGGTCCTTATATATTGTGGCTATTAGTGTTACACCATGTAACTCATGTATTTCCGTATTCTTCATGCTCCATGGGTTAAAACCTCCATGGAGTATCCATGGGTTACTCCATGGGTTTTTCCCAACATGAAGAACTATGGATCATAAGCCCACATATATAAGAATGAATGATTTACACAATCAATCCCCATATATTTAATTAGTCTCCTTTTGATCACAAAATTAATTCCAAATTAATTCTTGATCAATACTAATTAAATAATATGATTTCATATTAATATATTAGAACTTATAATACATTAACAAATCATAAATATCCTTTTCTCACAAAAGTCTATCCAAATTGTTCCGATGCCATGCAACCCAAATGGACCATGCCAAATCGGGTCAAGTACATACCAATTATAGTTATGGACTTAGACACTAATCCAACAGTCTCCCACTTGGATAAGTCTAAAACTCTTATTGCGTATGACTCCAAAACCCGACTAGCAATCGTAGCTCTTAAACGCCGCTGTCGAACTCTGAACAAATCAATGACGCGTCCATTAGATAAGGGATCGTATATTCCTCCATTCTAGATATCATATGGACTGAGGCATGGATTATAATCATTCTCTCTGTCCATTTGTTGTTTCCTGATTTGCTGTTTATGACGACCTACTAATTGAACAAATCAAATCAGTCCAGGCTTGGCCAACACTTCGGGGTGTCATCACTAAATCGTCGAGGGGCCCACAGATATCGCTTTTATCCCTTTAAGGGTAAAAGGAATGGATAAACTTCGACTCATATGCTTGTTCTACTGCTTATTGAATCATACACAAAGGCACGTTTTATAACATCGAGTTACCAATGCGTTTTCGTACAATCAATGTATAACCAACTCATAGGCAACAACTCATATCTCTAGGTTTGAAGAATATAAAATATTATCGTCTCATGATCACTCGTGATAAAATCCATGAAGTGAGTCAAATAAGCGTGGGTTTAATCCAATACTCAGAACTTATGAGCACTCATGAATCTTGCAGCAACTCTTGCTATGTCCACTACCTTGGACATCTACAAACCAGCTTCATGACAGTCTTGATTCATATCTACTTCCAAAATATGACCGACTGTGGATGGTTTAAATAACTTAGTCATTCAGGAAGAACGACCTAGTTATTCTGGAAGTCAAAACATGCAAAGTGAAACACAAGAATAATCGAATCCAATATGGTCTCAGAACTTGTGAATATAAATAGAACACCTTTTATTTATCACCATATTGATTACACATCATTCATTGTATACTGTTTCAAATTATCAACTTTATACTTGAACTAAAACAATAGGTGTCCCATGCTCCAAGCATGTATACTATGTTTTTCTAAACAATAGTCATGCCATACACCAAGTACGCATACTATGTTTGTCTAAACATTAGTTTTGCCATACACCAAGTATGCACACTAAGTTTGTCTATGATCTTTACTCTGTGAAATAGATCGATTGAACATAATTCCAATGATTCTCATTTCATAATCCCAAATCCTTACCGCAAATGCAAGAATTCCAAATTCCTGCCATTTACCTAAATCTGTTAGATTCTGAACTTATATGCATTGATCCTCTTGTAATGATTATGCACAAAGTCACAAAGACTTGTCAACAGACATTACAGAGTATTCCAATGGAGATCATTCCATGGAAACGAAGTCTCAAATTCAAAGTACATTGCTTTGAACATCCTTCTTGCATTAAGTTTCCTAATCTTACACAAATTTAATGAATAACTTCCACCTATGGGAATATTTCCATATGCTCATTTTAACTATCACTTCTGAACAAGAGTTTCCTCTTTTCAGAATATGTCAAAATGGTCCTTTCCAAAAAGGGTAAATGTCACTATAGCCCATTCAACTATCGTCGTTTATCCTATTTGGTCACTAAAGTATTTTTTTGCTCAATAGGTCATTAAACTTACAACTTACATGTCTATTAAGTCATTTTCGTTAGTTTTTAACAGATCTTCCGTTAACCAATTATTATAATTTACAAGAATGGTCCCTATGATTTCAATTTCTTTTGTGGTAGGTCCTTTACTAGCATCGTTCGTCACCTGCACCACTATCGTTCTTGAACATGTTGTAAAGTTGCTTGTTCTTGAATATTGGAGCTATCTGACCCGGTTTTTGTCTTCCAGTTGATATAAAGTTGCTTCTCTGAACCCGTGGATCTCTGAAAGCTCACAATGTCACCAGCTTTTAAGTTCTTTTCCTTCAAAAATCGGCTCCAACCTTTGGTTAAAACGTAGCTCTGGCTACTATTCAAGTATGAGTAACAAAATGACGAAATCTTCATACTTTCATCTCGATGTCTTCGAAATGTAAAAGAACTCCTTTGGAAGTGCTTACGCTTTGCAACAGGAAGTGCTTCTCTGCGTGCTGCTTTGGTATCACTAGCCGGTTCAGTTTTCCGACGTCGTTGGGGGTGACTGTCTTCTCAAAAAGTTGTTCCCGGGCGTTGACCAAGTTGTCACCCGATCTAAACCCGTTTGTAAAAGGGGTTTTGTTTAAGCTGCAGCTTCTCTTACTTTGTTCTAGCTCATCTTTATATGTGTGTTTCCTCAACATATCGACGATATCAACTTTTGAATGAGAATTCAAGAAACTAGCTTCCAACCCCACTTCATCGGTGTCAAGAACCATGCTGCCCCCACTACCGATCAGTGGAGGCGTAGTCACCGGTGATGCAACTGTTGAAGTTGTTTCTATAGTTGTGCTTTGATCATTAGTGGAACTTCCTTCCATTGTAATTAGTGTTCTTGAAGGAGAGAGAAGCAGGAAGAAGAATGGGGTTCTATATATAGAGAGAGAAATATGATATATATGAAGTGGGTGTAAGAGAAAGGTTGAGTATAATAATTGGCGGGGTTGCCCGAGGTGAATGGTGGTGGTTGTCGGAATTGAACGGTGGCGACGTCGGTTATGAACTATGCTGGTATGGGACTAACCACGAAAGAAATTGAAATCATAGTGACCATTCTTGTAGATTATAATAACTGGTTAACGGAAGATCCGTTAAAAACTAACGAAAATGACTTAATAGACATGTAAGTTGTAAGTTTAATGACCTATTGAGCAAAAAAAATACTTTAGTGACCAAATAGGATAAATGACGATAGTTGAATGGGCTATAGTGACATTTACCCTTCCAAAAATTTACTCCATACTTCCAACTGTCCCTAAGCAACCAATCTTTGGTAAAACCTTAGATTGTCCTCGACAATTGCTTAATCAAATTAGTCATATCTAGTTCTAGTACTTTTTCCCTCTTAATGCCACAGGCATTTGGAAAAATTTAGAACAGGTGAATATTGTAGCACATGCCATCAACCCTATATCTGAAGCACATGGGACAAGATTCATGATGTCTCACATAAAGACATGATACTAGACCAGTCTTTTTGTTATGATATTTCTATTTCTATTTGCCAATTTCTCATAATTCAGATTATGAAAAGGGATGTCGTAATCATAATCGAATTTTAGAACGCAAATAATGGACCCATATATAGAATTTCCTTAAGTTGAACCATTCCAGCATAAAATTCATATATATATATATATATATTATATATATATATATATATATATATATATATATATATCCTTGACTAAAGATGATTAAAACCTCAATCTAAGCTTTTAGAATTGAAATGAAGTATTATTTCCTCTCCCTTAATTATAGCAAAAACAACTTTTCCCAATTGAACTTTTCTTTTTTTATAATTAACATTGCTAACTTGCAATACTTATTATAATTATCATGCTCCCACTAACATGATGATTATTAGCATAACACTTATGCTCCCACTAGCTTTGACATGTACTCAGAAATCAGCTGGACTTCTAGAAATCAATACTTTATTGACTTTCTTACCAAAGTTCAGATTTCTGATACGAGATGCTTTGATAAAACTTTATCAAAATCATACACCTTTCCTTAGATAGCTCATATGTGTGTCTAAACAATTTTAGAACTATGAAAAGGGATGTCGTAATCATAGTCTCAATTGCTTAGACATTTTCCATTTCTCACAAGTCCATGTTAGTGTGCCGGTTAACCACACACGCTCCACTAACGACTTTGAGAATGCAAATATCACAATTGCTATCTACTTAAAATCTACTTAGTGAAAGCGTTTCCTCACCATCATTTTCATGAATCGGAGAGAAACCGTATGACACTTAGATTTTATGGTGTATATGTGCCTATCCATGTGAATTTGTCAAAATAATCACAAGACAAGATTAGTGACAAATCCAAACTCATATGGATTGAACTTGTGAAATCTTAACTTCTTGCCACCTGGCAGCTCAAGGGTCTGCCATTACTTCCAAGTTGTTATGCAACCAATTGAGAACTCTCAAAACTCATATGCAAAGTCAACTTTAACTGGAATGGGCACAAAAATAGGAATATGTCAACACGATGGGTTATAAACCTAAAGTTGTGTGCTAGTGATAAACTACAGGTTTTATTCTTGATTAGACTCTTTCAGAATCTTTTAGACTCCCACTATCCTCTTGACATATAAGACTCTCTTGCCAAGACCCATTGCTTGACAAACAAATATTCAAGAGATAGTGCGTATTCTTATCAAGACAAACACTTCACACAATTGGCCTTAGTTGGTCTTTGTTTTATCCAAAACATCACAACTTACCAATTTCAAATGTACAAGAATAGAACACATTTTACTCATACATTTGATAGGTGTTAATAAACCTTCTTTAAGATATGTCACTCAAGTTACAATTTTGGAGTATGACTCTAAGAATTGTTTTTGGAACCAAGTATGACTCATCTTCTTGATTTAACCATTTCAATAATTCATGACTCCTCTTCTTAGCCATAAGAATGCACTAAGATGTCCTTAGAGGATGAATTGTGATATGGTCTCACAATCATTAAGATGATCATAAAACATGATACTAAAGTACTCTCCCATCTTTTCAGATTTGAGAAACTTTTATCTTTCTGCCTAATTTGATTCTTCTCATTCGTTCTGCCATACATCAAAACTTTACCAATATTTCAGAATTATACTTAAACTTGTAAGTATAACCATATTTACTAAACTTTAGTAAATCATGACGAATAGTCTTATCGATCTTTTGTGGTGAACTTGACCGGTGCACAGGAATGTGTACTCGATCCCTTAGTCCTTCACTTGACTCACATATACATGTGAACGAGGAATTAGTCTTAATTTTCCAGAGCTGAAAGTTCTCATTCATCATACTATTCAACTTGCATGATTCCAAGTTTCGGTCTAATTGAAAACTTGGGTGATGAGAATCTTTCCTTATTTGGTAAATTTAGACACTACCACAAATGAAAGAATCAATTTTATATTTCCATTATTGTTAGAAACATATAAACATCAATTTTCCATGTATGCCATTGCAGGGAGATAAAATAAAATAACACAAAAAATTTATTTATTTGTAAGATGCGGAAAAATCTTTTTCCTTACAATGCAACTTTAACTGGAAACTATGTTATTACATATTTCCTAGCAATCTATCATAACTCTCTAAGTAGTACCTCAAGAATCCGATCTTCGAACCATGCGATTGAAATCCATCTTCGCGATCTGATTCAACATACTCTTTCTTTAAGTTCCCTTCCCTTTGCTTAATCCTGCCATACATCAAAATGTATTAAGTATCTTCAAATAGGAACTTAATTGAGTTAGATAGTGGACTTACCTGAAGCAGAGTCAAACTTTTTTACTAGACCTTCTCTCAGATCTTTCAGGTAGTTAGGGCAGCTTCACAACCAATGCCCCTTCCTTTGGCAACAGAAACATATGGACCCTTTGGGAATGGCACACAGGACTATCTCAAACTTAGCCTTTCTCTTTACCATTTGGTCAACCGAGTTGATTATAGCCGATCCCTTTTCATTGGGAAGAAAAATATTTTCTAGATATCCAATGTTACCAATTGTCAATGTCCATGGTAGTTTGGGAAGTTGATCTACTAATCAAATTTGCTTTACCAGAGGGTCATGTCATAGTCTGTTACATAGTAGTCCCAAAGGAACTCACTGTGTGACTTAGAAAGTGATTGAACAACCAACTTTCTCAAGACTTTGACACCCAACTCTCCCAACTTGTCAATATGTCAGCACACATAGACCTTGCTTGCCAATAGGGCTTGAGTGACTTTGAACTACTCAAGAACTTGTGGGTTAGGGAGAATAATTGGAGGATGTGGAGGAAGAGAAGTATGATTTCCATTATCCAACCACGGAACATCATCTTCATTAGGAAAGCTTGTTCCAAGAGATTTGGGAAGATCATAATTGTCTGAACCAGACACCTTTTGGGAGATATTCAAGATAGTTGATTTAAAGTCCTTAATATAACACCCAATATGAAATATTAAGGCTAGGACCGAACATAATATTTTATAACTTGGAAGAGGGATGCCGTAATCCAAGCTATAGAATATTTGAAGGTAGGCGAATGACGATTCACCAATTTCCACCATGAAAAACAAAATAATTTATTAGGTTTTAATTGGATTTGAAACTCCTAGATATTTTGAGATTCATTGAACTTTTCAATGGCATGTTTCAATCTCGATTGTGCCCTCTCAAATTTTATGACTGGGATGCCGAGGATCACAAAGCAAGGTGTGAATAACCATGCAAATATACTTGGTACCCTTAATATTTATCACTCAATCGATGTGTCGGTTAACCACACGCGCTCCACCGATACTATGATAAACAGTAAGTTACCCTTTGCCTACCTTGTTAAATCCAGGTTAGTGTGCCGGTTAACCACACGCGCTCCACTAATGACTTAAGCAAAGTGCAAAGTGTAATTTCATGGGTTAGCACCAAATTCACATTTTCCTAAGTAACTAAGTTTGGGAATTCATAAAAGGTTTAGTTACTTAGTATTTATCATTAATACTTTTAATGAAGGGAGAATTATAGTCCTTGTCCTACCCGTTCGGCTAACGACCCTCCACCAGTCAAGGAAGCGGTGGGTGAGAGTGGACACCCATTAAGCTGTCATTTTATAGGAAACAACCTTATACCCCCTTATAGACCAGCTTCGTGAATGAGGCCTACTAACGGTAAGAGTCACTTGCTCTTATACATATATATATATATATATATATATATATATATATATATATATATTATTAACTTATAATACTATAAAGTATAAAGGTTGAATTTTAACTTTTAAAACTCTAGGGTTTGGAATTAAAGTGTGTGTGAAACTTTACAAATTCTAAAACTTGAGGGCAAGTTTTGAACGATTCAAAAAACTTTTCAATTCCATAACTTATGTGTTTAAAGTAGTTTTAATGAAAAACACTTCAACTTCCATAACTTGAGGACAAGTTATGGAAGACTTTAAAACATTTAAAAAATAAGACTCTCCATTTTTTCATAACTTATGGATATCTTATGAGTTTTAATAATCATAAATGTGACTTTTCATATAAATTGAGGACAAGTTACAAAAACACATATTATGAACAACTTTTAGATTAATTTGGATTGAAAACATATTATCACATAACTTTTCTATTAATCTAAATCAACTCATAAGAATAAGATAATTCAAATCAAACAATTTTCATGTAATTAGCCTAACCATTAAACTAATACAAAACATGAATCTATTGACAATTATCTATGAAATTGGATTAGCATGAACATTACCACATCAAAAACATGTTTACAAGTTCAAAAACAGCTTAGGGTAATGTTCCTA